TAGACATTCATATACAAGTGTGACTTGGTGATACCATGTTAATTAATGTCACAGCTTCTCCTCAGTCCAACAATGTCCAAAATTGAAAGATTTGGAATGAGGTACTAAATGAAAATGGTTCCTGTGATCCAACCATTTGATGAAGAAGGTTGAACAAGAAGCTCTGCCATACAAAAGCAGTTGTAGTTTATAATATTTTCACGGTAGTTAATTATGTTCCAAAGGCGACACATTCACAGGTCGTAGTGACAGACTCCTGTCTGGACGTGACAGATGTGATGTGAGGCTACAGTGGCAATGACAGGAAGTCATTGAAAGGCTTCCTGTCTCTGATACCAGTGATGGAGTGGATTCCAGAGTGATGGGCGCTGATAATTTGACTGCGTCTGTCAGGACGTTTCTCTTTATGGAGTGGCATCACTTGGATGAGCTGATGGGCGTGACTCTGACAAAGGCGTGTTTACGATTGTTTGGTGTTTAAATCAGCAGGATTTCTGGGTTTCTTTAAAAACTCATTGAGACAATGTGACTTTGTGGAATGAAGAAACAACATTCCCTGAGGTGTTTAACTTCCTGTTCCTGCTCAGTGATGGGAAGGGCAGATGGAAATTCCACTTGGGAGAACACATCTGTCTTGACAAAGAGAAAGAAAACAGCTTTGGCCTTGTAATGAATAAAGGAGGACAGAAGTGGGAAAGTGGACGTTAAGGCAGACTTTGGAGACCACCTACAGCCTACAGGGGTCAAACAGCTAGAATGACATCAGTGGCCGTCCACAGATTCAGCAGAGAAACCTGTGTGTTATAAATGTTTGATGTGATGTCAGTGAACTTCCAAAGGTCATCTGGAGGTCACATATACACTCTCTCTACAGCATATAATGTTATGAAGTGGAATTACACTCTGACAGGACCAAAGTCCAAACTTGTGCAGATTCTTATCACCAACTTGTCAACAGAGCGAGTCTGTCTCCACTCTTCTTGTGTCAGTACTTTTCCACCTCCTCCACTCTGACGGTTTTTCACTTCCTTTCTTAACCCACTCATAAACAAACAAAGCTCTGTGGTTCTACACTGGTCTTCCAGCTCCGTCCTGCAGCTGGACCTTATTATTGACATCTTGATCCTTTCTCTTCTGGTTCCTCTCAGCTGCACTGCCTAGAAATGATTTTTCTATTGAACAGCAGTGCAGTGTAGATGTTTCATTATAAATAAAAGTTCTTGTAAAGAGTGGCTTGGTGCCTGTAACAGAGGAGGTCTGGGTGAAAGCCCAGCTGCAGCGTCTTTGAAGAAAGTTTCCTTCCAGCACTAAAACTCCTGGAGCGTCCTGTAAACGGAGAAAAAATGAAAGTTTTTCCATGTCAGGGACTCGAAAGAGAAAAGGAAAGGAGTTTGGAAAAGAGGCAGAGAGAGAGAGGCAATTATTCTAATGAAGAGGCTAACCACCCGTAGAGAAGGAGGAAGATTAGAAAAAGATCAATAGAGGAGGTAAGAATCTAGTAGAATCTCAGGAAAAGAATCTCAGGAGGAGGAACTGGACCAGAAGATGACACATGGGATCAGGAAAGGAGGCAGCCATTGAAACAAGGAGAATCAGATATTTGGAGAAAGAGGGCAAGGTGCCATACATTGATTGGCCATTAGAGGTGATAAAGGAGCCTTTAGTGGGTGAAAGAAGTTAGAAGAAGAGGCAAGAACTGTGGACAGGACAGTTAATCAGTTCATATCTCCTCTGTCAGATGGAGGTCCAGTCTTCCCCACACTAACCAAAGTGAACAGTAGATGGTGCATCAGAATGACTGTTGATTAGTGCATGTAGTAAATAACATGCACATGTGGTCAGTCTGTCGCTCCTTCAGAGAGAAAAGGATAACACAGTGTGACAGTGTTCCAGGTGTTGTTACTGTTGTTACTGTTGTTGTCACATCAGTCAGGGGAGATAAAAGCAGCAGCTGATCTGAGGTTGTTCCAGTCTCTCAGAAATGTCCTGCTCTGACATGTTTGGCATCTGGGTGATGTTGACCCAGTTCCCTGACTCACAGGGTGATAAACACAGTTCAGCAGAGTGATCAGAGGCAACAGCCCACACCACTGTAAATCCTGGTGACAGAACCAACAGTGTTGTTGTAGCGCTACATACTTAGACGTATCAGTCCAGTGTCAGTCCAGTGTCAGTGTCGGTCCAGTGTTCTTATGTAATTTATTGTGCAAGGATTAAAATTAGAAGCACATCAGTCAGTGGGGGTGAAAATTAAAAATTAATAAAGTCTGACAGCAATTACCTGAGAATTACCTCTGCTCTTGTTTTTCTCAGTGACTGATAGGGTTAGATAGCGTCAGAGGTCAGCTGGAGCATGTTTAATTATTTGAAATATAGCAGGTTTTGGGACCCCTGGTGGTGGAGTTGTGGTAGAGTGATGATCCAGAAAGTCTTTCTTTACAGCAATGGAGCTAAAAGTAAGCCAAAAGCTAAAAGACTAATACATTTTAACACAGAAAGTAACCACATTTATAGCTACAAATGCCCAGGAGTTTGCTAAAAGGTTATTGATGTAGCAAAGAAAAAAGGCTTAAAGTTTTAAAAAGAGTGAGAGCAGCCAAGAATGGTGAATTTAATGGTTAACCAATAACAGCTATCACTGCCATAGGTCCATGATATAATAAAAGATGTTTTAAAAAGAGTGGTGCTTTGTCCCAGAGGCAATGTCTCTGTCATTGGTGTGGAACCCCAGGGTTCACCTCCTGGGCAAGGTTGAACCTGGTTAGGGCGGTTAATACCTTCCAGTGGACTCACCACCCGCAGGAAGGTTCATGGGGGTTGGTATGGTGCAGTGTGATTTGGGTGGCGACTGCTGTCCCCGCGACCCGGTAACGGATAAGCGGATGAAAATGGATGGATGGATGGATGGATGTTTTAAAAACACTCGAACGTTAATAAAGAGCAGTACAAACAACTCCTCCAGAGGGGGAGCTGTTGTTCCTGTACAGAGAAACCTGTGTGTTCTGTGTTTCCATCAGAGAATTCTGGGGCTGCCTCTGACTCCAAGTCATGACCTCAACCCAGCCTCTCCAAAAACTCCTTTTCCTCCTCTCACACTCTCTGCACTCTCTCCTCCTCATACACACTCGCTCTCACCACGCCTCCTCACATTTTATTACTCTATTCATTAATCATGGGATTGTATGCAGAATGCTGGTGCAGTAACTCTTACAGTGGTTTGTACAGATAAATAAATAAATATTACCAGGAGCTCAGATTAGAAAATGCTTCATTTATGAGAATTCAATAAAAATGTGATCAAAGGTCAAAGGTTACACAGCTTACCACTGATCAAAGATATGATGATGACACTGGCCACAGCTATTGTAGACACAGAAACCAGTTTGTACTGGTTTGACTTAGATGAAATAATCAACCTAAGAAATTAAATTAAAAAAAACAAAACAAAAAAAACAAAGAACCCCTTTATCGGCCCCAAAATTCTACCTGTGGTTACCTGCCATTTTAACAGAGTGAAAAGATGAGACGCAGCTGGTTAGAAAAAACAACTTTACCTCTGCATCATAACTTCAGACAGAAGGCTTTGCTCCTGTTTACGTATGTTGAAGTAGCAGAACATCTAACGTATCAATGTGCAGCTAAATTTAATAGAAGAATGAGATCGGAGTAATGGTTTACAGGTCATTCCATAGATAGTCTTGTTCACATGAGCTGTGGTTTTGGAAGGAAAGGAAAGGAAAGGAAAGGAAGTGAACTACTTGTCATTGTGACACAGCATTGCACCACTGCACCACTGCACACAACCAGATGTGACCTCTGCTTTTAACCAATCACCACAGTCAGCAGGGGGCAGTGGAGCAATGTGTGGGGACGGTGCCATACTCAGAGCACCTCAGTGGTAACTTGGCACTGGAACCTGAAACCTTCCAGACCCAAGTCCTGTGCACCACCGCCCTGGAAGAACTCGGTCAGAACTGCGTGAAATGTGTGATCACTGCTCTGGTACAAGGTCGAACTAGTGTGTAATTAAACCATTGTCTAAATAAGCAGACAAACAGGTTGTTGTTGTTGTTGTTGTTGTGTTGTTGTTGTTGTTGTTGTTCAACCTCTTCTTGTTAAGTCTAGGTGTTTGACCCCACTCTTTTTCCTGAATTTTTAAATTTCCTCTACAGCAAATCTTACCCTTCTGTCTTTGGCCTATAAAAGATGTGCAGGAGAGAAATGCAGGAATATGTGCTGCATTCAGGCTGACTCATGAATGATCACAGAGAGGCATTCTGGGAAAAAAGCAGTCATCTATTCACTCCCCTCTCTGCTGTGGCCAAGGTGTATTTCATGTGATCCACTGTTGGATGGAGATGGATTCCCCCCCCCCCTCCCGGGATTAGAGTAACTAACTGCACCTGACAGGAAGTCTGACTGTTGACTATGACAACTGTGCCTAATTAATGTTACAATGTTACTGAGGTATTGTCCAAGTATTTCTGTAGATGATTTACTTTCTTTGTACTAAACATGTCCAAACAGGACAAAAAAATTAACTAGATGACTCAGCTGTTCCTGTGGTGTTTAAAATAATATTGTCATGCTAGTTAGAATGTACTTAAAAGAAAGCTACTGAAGTAAAACACTGGTCCATAAAAATCAAAGATAGCAAAAATAATTTAGACCATTTAGACAGAACTGTCTGAACTGTCCCCTGCTCACTGAGGTGATAACATTGTAAAATGAGGAGGCTACTAACAGACCTTTAAGAATTTGATGATTAAGGCACTGAAGCAGAGCTTCATGTTTTAATCTAAACTTATTTGTGGCCGGGCTGGGACTGGAACATGTTTATTTTGAATGATAAGTAACATAAAGGGTGCATAAAGCAGGGTTAAAACTAGCCTAACTAACCGAGGGTTTAAACTAGGTAAACTTTCTTGGACAAAAGCATATTTGCTAACGATAGCTAAAACAGCATGCTAGTGTTGATGTGGCTTTTGTGTGTCTTCTAGGAGTAACTTTCACTTACTCAGAAGAACAAACAGGAAATAAGGATACAGCCGTGGACGTCAAACTGTACTCTCATCGATGGAGGAGGTGGATTCTCCCAAAACCTCATACCATGGACAGTAACAGAGCCAGTCAAGAGCAGGACCAGCAGCCAGACCAGGAGGAGCCTGAGAGTTTCCCAGGCCTGTTGTCAGCAGAGGAGAGAGACAACAGCTCGCAAATTGAAGTAAGTGTTGAGTCACGGCCAGGTTGCGATGCCACCGTACAGACGCCATTTTTCATCTTTAATGACGGCTTTTATTTGAACATGGCTGAGCTCAAGAAAGATGCAATGAATCACAGATGAAAGTATTTGTACAAAGTGGAGAAACCTCCACACATGTATGAAAGAAAAAGATTGTTTTTTTTTTCTGGTCCTGTTCAGAGAAAGATTGAATCATTGACATCATCCACATTTTTACAATCCAATTTGCAGATGTAGTGTAGTTTTCCAGAGGTTTGAAAATCTGCACCAAGTGTAATTTGAACAAACTTTTGTAGGAGCTACCAATGGTTGATCTGCTACTCTGTGGCTGTTATGAGGTTATAATGACTGAGAAGATCCGCACATATATAGGAGGAGTTATTAGAGCCAGGCATAGATTAGTGGAACATTGGAAGTTTTTGTATTGATGTTTTTGTTTTTTGCTAACCTCTAACTAATGTAAACATTGCTGGAAGTACCAACTTCTTTCGATGGTATAGAAGAGAAAAGTCAGAATTCTTTTCATGTTGGTCACAGGCCTAAACAATCATGGTTAGAGAGAACCTGGTCGTTTGGAATTTTTAATCAGTATAAAGGCAGCATACTTTGATCATGAGCTGTAATGTGTCACTGCACACTAACATCTGCTTTTTTAAGTCATTGGTCAGAGAGAAACTGAGCGATCTAATCACATACAGTAGAGGAGAGCACGACTGGGTACATGCAACCCACAATGCACTGCAGATTACTTTACAGGATCTTGATTCTCTCGTTGAAAAGTTTGAAAGATATTCTATTTATGTTTAATTTTATCAGCCAATAAAAATGTCTGGCCCAGCAGCCATGGGATGGACTAGACCTGATGCACAGCAGAGATGACAGAATTTGAAGTGAGCAGTATTTGAAATGAGCAGTATTTGAAATGAGCAGTATTTGAAATGAGCAGTGTTTGAATTGAGCAGTGTTTGAAGTGAGCAGTATTTGAAGTGAGCAGTATTTGAATTGAGCAATATTTGAAGTGAGCAGTATTTTAAGTGAGCAGTATTTGAAATGAGCAGTATTTGAAATGAGCAGTATTTGAAATGAGCAGTATTTGAAATGAGCAGTATTTGAAATGAGCAGTATTTGAAATGAGCAGTATTTGAAATGAGCAGTATTTGAAATGAGCAGTATTTGAAATGAGCAGTATTTGAATTGAGCAGCGTTTGAGGTGAGCAGTATTTGAAGTGAGCAGTAATTAATATGAGCAGTATTTGAAATGAGCAGTATTTGAATTGAGCAGCGTTTGAGGTGAGCAGTATTTGAAGTGAGCAGTAATTAATATGAGCAGTATTTGAAATGAGCAGTATTTGAATTGAGCAGCGTTTGAGGTGAGCAGTATTTGAAGTGAGCAGTAATTAATATGAGCAGTATTTGAAATGAGCAGTATTTGAATTGAGCAGCGTTTGAGGTGAGCAGTATTTGAAGTGAGCAGTAATTAATATGAGCAGTATTTGAAATGAGCAGTATTTGAAATGAGCAGTATTTGAAGTGAACAATATTTTAAATGTTTTATTTCTTTCACTCAGAAAGAATGACATTTCTTTTTATAAATTTCAGTGGAGTTTTGAAGCAGTCGCTGGACTGTATCAATGTTGAGTCTGGCTTTCACATTAGACCTGTCTACAAAGGGACAGACATATGGGACCCTCTGTAAGGCTAGAGCACCAACCTCTCTCCACTGTGTGGCTCAGTAACAGATCATTTGATTGGCTGATCTTCTGCTCACGTCACAACATTTAAAACCAGCAGCAGTTTCTAATCCAGCAGTTCTGTCTGCTGCACTAAATCATCTGAAGCTGTGTTTTCTGACAGGGAAATGTGTTTCCTCATGAAATCACTTTGACATTTAGACAGAAACCATGACGTTTATGCTGAAATGACAACCAGCCTCAGAGAGCAGTGTCCTCCATTGCCTTTGACATCAGCCTTAGATCAGGTTAACTTGCCTCACAAACATAATAACTTCCACCCACAGATATGCCCTAACGAGACTCTGTGACAGCCATAAAGACTTTCTCTATCCCTCCCTCTCTCCCTCCCTCTCTCTGTCGTTAACCCAGATTAATGCTCCGGTGCTGAGGTATTTCCAGGTGGCTCAGAGGTAGAGTGAGATTTTAACGAACAGCCTGTTTTATGTAGACCACTGAAGTCTGTGCTTGTTGGGACATGCTGTCAGTAAAGGTGTTTGTTATCTGGTTCACATCAGTTCAGCCTAAACACAGCAGTTTACGTTTAGTTACCCCTGGATGTCATACTGTTATCTAACAGTTAGCTTTCTTTGCTGACATCTTTTTTTTTTCTTGTGTTTCTTGGATAAAATGGTCATCCATTCCATTTTTGATCATTATGAATTATTTTTCAAGCTTTTACTATGCTGTTCTTTACTTTCAGCCTTTGTTTGGTTAACTTTTAGCATTTCTATTGAGTATTTAGTTACCTTTTGAACAGGAGTCATTGGGGCAGTGCTGGCTTGGTGGTTAAGAAGGTTGGGTCCAGAAGGTTTCAGGTTCAAATCCACGAGCTGCCAAGTTCTCACTGAGGTTGCTGTTTGTCTAACATGTCAGTTTTACAGATAGTTTAAAGGTATTTTATGCTAAAATATTTAAATATATTTAGCTGATTTTTTTTTTTCCAAAAAACCACTGCATGCTGCAGATGGAACATATTTGTCTGTTCTCATAAATTAAAGGACATTCTGTCTTGTGATTTTTACCTAATATTTTGAAGGTCTTTGCAGTTTGGTTTCATCCCTTAAACCTTTATTGGAGGCTTTCCTTCTTTCTCCTCTCTTGATACTAAAGCTCCCTCCATTCTTACAGTTGACATGTCATCACCTGTTCAGTGTGAAATACCACCATCATACCAACCAAGCAGACACAGAGTTGAGGAAGACAATTTTCAAGCCTCTTTTATGAAGAGTATAAATAAAGTTACATGTAGAAGGATTTTGTCAAACACTGTGTTGTATCAAGAACACCCTTGTGTGCCACTCTATGACCTCTTGCCTGGACTGGTTTGATCCCCACTGTTAACTGATGGGTTTATTTTCACATTTCTGTGTCTGTGGGCGGATGTTTGCTCGGGTAATCCAACGTCCTCCCACAGGGCATGGATGGATGGATGGATGGATGATAGATGGATGGATGGATGGATGGATGGATGGACAGACGGATGGATGGATGGATGGATGGAGAAATAGAAGTTCCCTTTGGGAAATTAAGACTTTAGGGAAATTAAAACTGCAAAAAAGTTCTGTTGTTGCATGGGTTTCGGACATGAACAGCTGAGGTCTGAACTTTGACTCGGCCGCTCCAGAACATTCACCTGGTTCTTTTTAAACCAGCCTTGTGTAGCTTTTGCAGTATGCTTTGGATCCTTGTCTTGCTGGAAAATTGATCTTCGTCCAAGCCGTAGTTTTCTTGCAGACTGAATAAGATTGTCCCTCAGGATTTTGGTGTATTTTGCAGCATTCATTCTGCCCTCTATCCTTACAAGCCTTCCAGGGCCTGCTGCTGAGAAACATCCCCACAGCACGATGCTGCCACCACCATGCTTCACAGTGGGGATGGTGTGTTTTTGGTGATGTGCACTGTTTGGTTCCCACCAAATGTAATGGCCAAAAAGATCAATGTTGGTCTCATCAGACCCAAGAATCTTCTTCCACTTGACCATGGAGTTGTTCACATGCCTTTGTCCAGATATAATATGAATTTTCATTAACAGTGGCTTTCTCATTGCCACCCTCCCATTGAGCTTTGACTGGTGAAGAACCAGGGCAGCAGGTTCTATATGCACAGTCTCCTGAGTCTCTTGAGTCCATCTCAGCAGCTAAAGTTTGTAATGCCTTCAGAGTAGTCGTTGGGGTCTTAGTGGCTTCTTTCACTGGTCTCCTTCTTGCATGGTCACTCAGTTTATGAGGGCGGGCTGATCTAGGCAGATTCACTTTACTGAATTTTTTTTGGTATCCATTCCCTGAATTGTACTTTTCAATAACCCTTTCTCAGACACAGGTGTTTTATACCTCAATCATTTGCACCTTCAGGGCGGTGGTGGCTTAGTGGTTAAGGAAGCAGACTTGGGTCCGGAAGGTTTCAGGTTCGAGTCCTGCCAAATTACCATTGAGGTCCCTAACCCAAACCCTGCTGACTGTGATGATGGGTTAAAAACAGAGGTCACATTTGGTTGTGTGCAGTGGTGCAGTGGTGCAGCGGTGTGCTGTGTCACAAAGACAAGTAGTTGATTTTCCTTCCTTCGTTTCTTGAGACTCACCCACACCACTCAGGTCATCTTCAGTTGGATGGACCTCTATTGAATTAGACCATTACATTTAAAAGGTGGTGAATAATTATGCAAACAATTATTTTTCTTTATATAATTTTGTTTCATTAACATTACTTTATAGAACTCTGTTTTCACTTTGACATTAAATATATTTTTGTGTAAAAACCGAGGAGGTGAATATTTATGATAAGCACTGTATATATTTGTATATGTTTCAAGCAGCACAGGAGTGCCATCTAATTAAAAAAAACAAATATTTGTATTAAATACAAATCTGTTTGTCTTTTGTCACAGGAGGACACAGATCACAACTACTACACATCAAAAGCATATGGACCTTCAGACCCAATGAGTAAAAACCTGTGGGTAAATGTGGAGCAGATGGACAAGGAGAAAGTGAAAATCCACAGCATTCTGTCCAACACGCACAGACAGGCAGCGGTGAGTGGATAAACAGGAGACAAACGTTGCGTCTTTACTGTACATGTAGAGACACAGTTACATTCTTGACAAACAGGTTCAGGTTCTCACAGGTTCACTCAGTGATGTGACTAAGAACAACCATAGTAAGTATAGTAAGTAAAACATTATGTACCTGGATTGAGATTCCACCATGAGGAGCAGACAGGTGGGCTCACACAGAGGAGCAGTAGTGCTCACAACTACAATGAACGTAGAGAAAAGGTTTACAGCTACACATGGTCCAATAATACAGTATATATATATATATATTAGTTAGATAAAAAAAGTCACACTTGAATGACTGAACTACAGGGGTGGGAGTTGTCGTGTTCCACTTAGACTCTGAGGAAGTTTCATGGTGGTAATAATACTCCCCCATGTGTGATTTTCAAGGGCAATTATAGAAATCTAAGGGCATTTGGCCCTAATCTTCAACCGTTGAAACTGAAACACAAGAAGAAAATGAGCCGAAACCATCTGTGCTGAGTATCAGCAGAATACGACTTTATGATTATGGCAGTGAATATTCTGTGAAAGACCATAAAGGTCTGGATGCTGGAACAGAACCAGCCTCTGTCCTCTGAACCTGCCATTGCTGCACGTCTGAATTCTGATCTGGTACTGTTGTAAATCCAAACGGAGCAGCAAAGGTCTAACCCTAACCCTAACTTGGTCAGTGGAAACTGGTGTTTATGGTACTGTTTGTGAAGTGGGTGTTGTTAAGATGGTTATTAATGACGGCTTATAATCCGTCATCATCTGTAGACAGGAATGTCTAAGATTTAAGATATTTTTTCTAAACAATGACTTAGGTGACCTAAGACACATGCATGTAGTCTTTCTTATTTCTAAGCCTCCTCTCACTTCTTTCTCTTTTCTCTCCTCACAGAGGGTTAATCTGTCCTTCGATTTTCCTTTTTATGGACATTTCCTGCGTGAAATCACAGTGGCAACTGGTGGTAAGTGACCAATGTTCCTGGACTGTTCACTGAAAAGTAGTTAATATTGTTATTATTGGATGGGCAGTGTGTGCCTGGCATATGAGGTCTTACACTGACAGTTTCTATTGCCTTCAAGTTGTGGTAAAGAAAGTGATGAGATCTCCTGAAGTCTGAAGTTTTGCTAACATAAGAATCAAAGAATGTGTGTTTAAGTCTTGTCCAGATACAAGAACAAAACTAGTCTTGAAATCCTCTGAAATTCACAAAATGGTGGCTTTGGAGAAAACTTAGCATTTTATAGTGAGGCTTCAGTTATTTAACTGTTTACCAAAAAAGAACCAAAGGTAGAAATAGCTAAAGCTAAGCTAAAGTAAGATAGCCACAGTTGCAATACATATTTCAAAGCTATCAAAAAGCTAATTCTTGTTAAAATAATTCGATAGCTAATAGCTGAATATTTAGTAACTGAAAGGAAACTGTATATATAGCAGTGAAAAGTAAAATGATTAACAAAACCACTTGTAACATTTGACCAAAAGCCTAGAAGAAAAAATTAAAAGAAAATAAAGTCATGGCTAAAAACTGGTAAACATTTTAAAAAATAAACCCAGAAACAACTCATTAGCACTGAAAAAATTGACATAATTAGCTTAAAAAATAACCAAGCCAAAAGTAAGTACAATTATTATAATCATGATTAAAAATAGATTAATAAATATGCTAAATGAGCTTCAGAAAACTAAACAACTAAACTTTGTTCACATATAACAGAATGCTAAATCAAAAGACTACTGAGTATTGTCCCTAAAATAGTCAAAAGTCAAACTAGCTAAATGTTAGCCAAGAGTCACTAAAGGTCAGTTAGAGAACCTTTACAACAATCACTGACATTCTGGACCAAAAATAAAGTTAAATTATCTAAATGTTTTTTACATTACATTACATTACACACAAACATTTACATTGTTTGAGATACTTTTCCAGAAAGTGAGGGTTAGGGTTGGGGTTATGGAAAATCAGAACAGATATCAGTTTCCTTCTGTCTGTGTCACCTCCTGGAGGCTCAGAGAGTCATGGGTCTAAAAGTATTGTCCATTACCTTGACCTTCTCACCTTCAAGGGTGAGTCTACAACAGCTGAGAATGAAAACCAGCAGCTCAGGCTTGAAGTCCTGGAGAAACCAGAGCGTTGGCCATGGGCTGGAAATCCCAGTCCCAAAGCCACACCCCGATCATGAGGGTATCACAGAAGAAGTACATGTGTGGCTCAGACACATGATACAGTTACAGTCTGCCGGTGTGTGCAAAAACAATTTTCCACTTAATTCGTGACAGCGAAGACCCGCAGTGATTTGATCGTAGATATTCCAGATATTTCTGTGCCAATGGAATAACAAAGACTCCCCCCCCCCGTCATGATAAGGAGGAGTGGACAGTTATGCTGCCGCTAGTTCTGTGGAGATGAAGTACATTTGCATTCCCTTAAACACAAATGGAGAGGGAGGAATGAAGAGAAGGAGAACACCTAGGAAGGAGGAGGAACAGGAGCTTATCTTCGTCTTGCAGGCAGGAACTTGTCTTCCCACTCTAACATCGTTGTTACCAAATCAATGACTTTCAGTTTTGGCAAATATATTTCATTTAACTGTGAGTAATAGACTATTCAAATAACTGCAGTCCTTTCTTCTATTTTAAACATCTTTAAAAGTTAAAGCATGACTCTGTTCAAGTCTTTACTGTCAGATTTCTGACGACGGTTTTTATTCCTGTTGGAATGAGGACAGGAAAACAAAAAACATTTTGGGAGAATTCTGTTTCTGTGAAACAGGAAGTTAAGATGACGTGGCCAGCACAGGCCCGTCTGAAAGAACCAACATGTCTGTGGACGTAATATCTGAGAAAGACCCACAGATTTGACAAATGTGTAATATTGACATTTCCATAGGAGGGAGTGGGGGGTGGAGTCTGTCAGCAACCGTTTTACTCAGATCTATTCTGATCCTCTGACCTTCATCACCACTCTACATGATCCATGTTATAAAGATCATTACTGGGATGAGGGAATAAAGCAGCGCACACAAGGAACGATCCAGGCCGCGATGGACATGGAGAAGCTCACAGAGCAGTGTTCCAGATGAGGGGCGGGGACCCTGGTTGTCTGATATGTTCTGTGAGATCCTGACAGAGTTCCTCTAATAATAATAGGTAGGATATTCTATTCTGACTTCCTGTCTGACTATCAGTTGATTTGATTTCTCTGCTAGACATTTGACAATTCATTATTATTAATTATTATTAATTTATTATTAATTAATTATTGATTTATCTAATGTCAGTGCCTTGATTTTATTGGGGTTCAGTTTACAGTCAGAACCATCATTTCTTTCGGGTTTAGGCCTTGGTTTTCTCATTTTTGGCTTTCAATTTCAGACAAGAATTTTAATTTTGGTGCATCACTAGTAAATGTGTATATACATATATACACACATATGTGTGTGTCCTAGACTATGAGGATACATTTACTCATATTTCAGTTGGAGTTCACTTGTCAAGGTTTCACAAAATGTCCTCCTCCCCCACTCCTCCTCCTACTCCACTTTTTCTCCTCCTTGTGCTGACAAAGCTGTATAGTAAAGTCATTGTGAGCAGGGAGGTCTTTTGTGTGAAAATGGATCTCCTTGTGGTTCACTGTTTTTATAGCCTACTCTCATTGTATGGAGACATAGTGAAATGGAACTGATGCAGATGCTCATACATCCCAGTGATTCTTAATTAATATATATTTTCTATATATTTTATTGATTTACTCAGCAGGATTGTGTCTGACTGGAATCAACATTTTTAATGTTAATATCCTCTCCTTTGGGAACAAGTACTACTTGTAACTAGAAATTTTGGCTTTATTCTTTCAGTCTAAGTTGTGAATACTAGGTGCCAATTTAAAGGGACTTTTCTTCTTTTAATTTTGAACTACAAAGTCCTGTAAATGAAATGAGTGTCGTGACACAGTGTTTCCATTCATAAAGTCAAATAAAATGTACTATTTATTGACAGATCAAGAACAACTTCAAGTTTCATCATTTGATTCTTAATAATAAAGGCATACCTATGGTTTAGCAAAGATTATTTTGGTGCCAAAAACAGTACTGGTGCTTTTATTGATCCCCGCTTTCTATCTTACAATATTAACCCTTTCTAGGTGACCACCGGGTCACCTAGATTGCACAAGGGCTAACAGAGGACTGAAGGTTTTTATAAATAGAAAGAGAATGTTTTTTTTGTTTTGTCAATAGTCTTAACAACAATAAAAGTGATGTGTTGCTCTTTTCTTCTTTACCCTGCAGGATTCATCTACACAGGAGATGTGGTCCATCGGATGCTCACGGCCACTCAGTACATCGCTCCCCTCATGGCCAACTTCGACCCTAGTGTCTCCAGGAACTCCACCGTTATCTACTTTGATAACAGTTAGTTCACTTTACTTTTGTCAATACTGGTAAACATCCAGCTTCAGAACAGAGCTTTTATTCACCCGTCAATAAAATTCAAATGTTATAACTATGGTCCATTCACACATGTTCTTGCAGTGAGCTGGACCATTTTATTGTTAGCTCTGGAAAAATGTTATGTTGAAGAAACCATCGTTGAACTAATGTAGTTGAAGTTTCATGTTGTAGTGCCTTTATTTTTTACTGTGGTTTTTATTTGCTGCCAAACTCTGAGTTCATGTTGACCACGGTTCGAAGTGACTAAAGATATTTAGTTTAACAGAAAAACGTGTTAGTCTGACTAAATTAGTACTGACCTAAATCACACCAGTGAACCGATGACCAAGAACAGAAAATGATAAGAATAGAGCAGAAGATGATAGAGTAAATGCAGTGCATAGGATAGAACACAGTAGAATAGAACACGACAGATAAACTTGTGGGCAAAATTAAAAACAAGGCCAGACTGGAGCTCCTGACTCCTCACCCACTCCTGGACCTGTGTGTTTGCTGACTGAATAAATCCACTGAGCTAGACGTTAGCAGCAGTTTAGGTCTCTGTCATCGCACTGATGAGTCATTCTACTTCTCATTCTCTGTATCACACCAGCCATTCTACAGTACCAAGTATTTTAATGATTTTCATTCATATATATACATATATATATAATGATATCATACAATCATGACAATATCATGATGCAATGTCCCCGCCCCAAACATAAAACATGTTTTTTTAATTTATATTACACACAGTTCATATTAATTATTTTTGAGCAAGCAGCCAATCTAACCCCCCCTGACATATCTGTAACTGTCTGATGCCTGTGTGTGTGGTTCTACTCATAAAATTAATTCAAAGTCATATGTAGTTGGCTGTTTGAATGGCAAAACTGTTTTTAATTTGTTACGCTGCAAGACTCCTCCAAAATAATGGCGTTATGATAATGAGACTCAATGCAGTCAAGTAGCACCTAAAATTACAGCCACAAGCATGGGCGCCGATTCCGTGGGTTCTTCAGGGTCCGAGCAGCCACGGAGATTGCCAAGCACTCACGTGTGCCAGTCTTCACTTCTGTTGATTTGCTAAAGACCACTCCACGCTACCTATCAACGCTGTGCATTGTGATGACAGACAAACTGCCTAAAAGGCTGGGTGGCAACTTGCTGATAAAACTAGCATAGTGGTTGATTTAGCCAACAGAAATGGAGAAATATAAGATAAAAGAAAAAAATCACCGAACATCATTGTTTATTGTTTATTGTTTGTTGGCTGTCATTCCCAACATTTGTCTCAGCTGCAGTCAGTTTCAAAATGGATATATGACACAAAAATGAAAAAAACAAAACAAAAAAAAGTTAGGGCTGGTAATTAAAGTATAAATTAAGTATTTATATGCAATTAATCCAAATAATCCCAAACTAAGCTTTATAACAATATTTTCCCAGATTTAATACTTGTGAAAACTTTTTGTTGTTTGTTGTTATGTGAACAAATTCTTGTTTTTAAGACTGTTTCAAAAGTGTTGTAAAAGCGTCTTTATCCTTGTGTTCCTGGTTGTAGGTACTTCCCTGGTCGTGCAATGGGACCACGTTCATCTACAGGACAACTACAACCTGGGAAGTTTCACCTTTCAGGCCACATTGCACAACAGCGGCAGGATTGTGTTTGCTTACAAACAGGTGAATATCTTAAAACCCCATTACACAACTTTTAACTCTGTGTTTTCCCCTTACAATCAGTGATTCTTAGCACTAATTAATAAAATCATTGCATTAGAGTTAAACTTTGAACTTAAACTTTATTCATTTTTGTAGCACTTTCCATACATTGAATGTACAGAGAAACGGTTTAAAGACCACCCCGTGTCTTCCACCCTACCACATAAACATACACTCAATAAATCCCTCACCCACTCAATCATTTACTCAGACATACAGCCATGCACACGGTGGCAAGCATGCATTTATTTAAAGGTATTAAGGCTGGGTAGTGAGGATTTAGGTGGGGAAAGCATTTATTCTGTCCTAATAAAAACACAAATTAGATTGTTTTTGCTCTAATGTATATGTCTATGTACCAATAATTATTATTATATAATATATTATATTATACAAATAATATTTTTGATGACCAGTGACAAATGCTACTAATTAACCTGCTAATAAGCTGAGTAAGTTATATATTTTTCTTCCACAGATTCCTGTTGAAGTGTCACAGATCAGCTCAGTCAATCATCCTGTGAAGGTGGGCCTCTCTGATGCCTTTGTGGTGGTCCATAAGATCCAGCAGATACCAAGTGAGTATAAGTCCACAAAACTATTTGTATTATAATGTCATGATAAATGATAATACATCCCAGGACAAATCCGTCTTCAGACAGGACTGTCAAAGCATATGGCTTGCAGACCACAACTGGCCCACTGGAAGGTTAAATTAGACCTATGAAAGGAATGTCGACACTTGAAGACCCACATTTTAGGGTTAGGGTTAGGTTTTTTTTTTTTGATTAAAATAAATTTTATACATTAACAATGTATGATATCTTCAGTTCAGGTACTGAATATGAGACAAGTGTTTGTACATACAACAAAACTGGTCTTGAACTTGTTTAATTTTGAGATATCTTGGAGTCAATTTTTTCTCAGTGTATACAGTAGGTCATATTTGTACGATATTTAATATTTCCTTAAGCTGGGGTCCAGGTCCAGAAGTATAATAAATATGCTCTATCATCCTTTAACAATATATTTCACACTAGACCTCCATCCATCCATCCATTTCCATCCGCTTATCTGTTACCGGGTCTTGGGGGCAGCAGTCGCCACCCAAATCACATTGCACCATACCAACGGCCCTACACTTTCCTGCGGGTTGTGAGTCCACTGGAACGTGGACCGAGATTTGATCCTGCCCAGGAGGTGAACCCTGGGGTTCCAGACCAATGACAGAGACATTGCCTCTGGGCCAAAGCACCACCACACTAGACCTTTAAAACATAAAATATGAAACTTAGTGTGTTTCTTAATATTTATCTCCTAAATTCTTTTACTACTTTGTTGTAGTAAGCAGTGCTTAGTACAAAGATTAGACCTAGAAACAATCTATTTCATATGAATATTCTGTAATCTATATTTTGTTTCTCTCATTAAAACTGTCTACTGCTTAGATTGAATGTAAAAATGAAATCCTTAGAAGGCACACTTTGGGGGTGCTCATTCCTACTAGTGCTGAATTAATTGGTGAGGGGTTGCGTCAAGAAGGGCATCCACAAAATGACTTCCATAGCAGACAGACCACAGGAGGTCAACATCGGGCGGTTCCGTTAACCAACAGGCTACTGGTGGAAATTGGACTAGTGTTATTCGAAGAGTATCAAGAAAGAGCAGAAGATGATGTGTTGAAAATGAAGACAAGGAAAAGAAAGAAGGTAAAGAGATGAAGATGAAGTTGTGGAATCTAACAAAGGAGAGAGTTTGGCCAGTGATTGGCTGTTACCAATGACTGAGAGATGGTGTTTCAGGAGATACCGAGGAAGTTACTGTTGTCTTCTGCCAGCTCAGTGAAGTTTAAAAAAAGGAGAGAAATGATCAAATCTGTCAACATCCCTAATGACCCCATTCTGCTTCCTGTTGTACGCGCCCCAGCCCCCAATCCTTCTTCAAGAAACACATGTCCCAGTTTTTGGCTCTGTAATTTTCAATATTGGTTGCCCCTCTCTGTCCTTCTGTCTCTTTGTTTCTTGGAAATAAAGATGTGAGGAGGAGGACGATATACGAGTACCACCGCGTGGAGCTGACAAAGACCAAAATCATAAATTCTTCAGCTTTGGAAATGATACCTTTGCCCAGTAAGGATACATGATCAGAAGACTCTTTGTGTTTAGTCACTGTTGTGGTTTGATAATTTTGACCTGATTTTTTCTCAATTTTTCCAGCTTGTCTCCAGTTCACTAGCTGTAGATCCTGCATTTCCTCACAGATCAACTTCAACTGTACTTGGTGTCATCGCCTCAGCAGGTTGGACATTTAGACACGTTTCATTGAAATGACTAGAATATTGTCCAGTAAAAGTATGTAGTGATGATGACAGTATTAATGGGTCTGGGAGGTGTCTACTGTGTGTGAATGAATCTGCAGCTGCTCCTGTGTACGAACGCCTCTTCATCATCAAGTGGATGAGTCCTTTACGTTTATTTTTCTCAGATAGTTTTGGCTAACGTTTAGCTGCTATAATGACATCAAATCTTATTTAGGTCTAGCCTACCTTTCAAATATTGTTCTTTACTATTGTCATTTAATCAGTTGGGCTCATTATTACTATTTTTTTTTATTTCTTCACAATTTTACTGAACATTTTGACAACTTTTAGCTATATATTTATGAAAAAACTTACTTCAATCTTAGCTACCAATTTTTAATTTTATTCTATTTTGTCCTTGCCTTTTATTGCGTATTAGGTTACTCCTATGAACCATTTCTGCCTGGGGTTGGTTTGTTGGGTCCAGTTTACCACAGAGATCAACAATTTCCTGTTTTTTTCAGCAGTTTTGTCTGTGTTAAATTATCAAATGCATGTTCTTCTAAGTATTTCATTGCAAAGAATGGGAATTAGGAACCTGGAATTTCTCTTAACAAATCCACATACCATTTGCCAAAGTATTTTATTTGTAATGTATTTCCTCCGTGATATATTTGCAGTTAGCATACCAGGAGCAGAAATCAGGTAATCTTGGGTTAAATTCCCAGAGAAACCACATACTTGGTGCCTGCAGGGGGCAGCCTATTGAAGTAGATCTGCTTTTAACACAAAGAATTTCCAGAGTGTGATCAATGATGTTCAAGTTGTTACTATTATTAATATTATTATTAACGTAATGTAGCCATGATGACAATAGGTCCCATTAACTCATGGTTTTTTGTTCAATATCTTGGGTTATTTTTTAAGTCATCTAAGTGTGTAAATGTAATACTGTGTATACTCAGTATTGAGATGTTGTTACCTCTTCTCCATGCAGTCTTCAGTGTCACAGATCAGAAAGTCCATAATCAGAGTCCAATAATTTAGGTCCTGTGATATCATGATGACAGTTGTGAGCAGATTAATGTAAAGTCACCCTGAAGCAGCAGAAGAACTTAGAAGGATATCACAGCCACTCTGGTCAATGTCCAAACTGACTAAACAGGAGAGGTTCTCTCTGTTTAACTCACCCCTAACTAGATCTAAATCATTCACACTAGCATTTACACCTGGGATCAGTTCAGAGTGAACCACTGACCCACTGACCCCATGGTTTTTTTTTTGTGGTAAAATTTGAGTACAAAGAGAAAACACAGGGTATGAAATTCTGAGCCCCTTCAGAAAGACCATCATTTAAAAGTGTTTGGACTGGTCATCTTATTTCTGTGTGGCCAATGCACTAACTGCCATTTCACTATGTGAACCACAAATTGACCCTAAAGGTTAGGCCAATCGAGAAATGAATTAGAATTCATAACAGCTAGCAGAAAAAGACACATTTTAACGAGTATTATTGAGATCAGTTTAACTAAGTGCTGTTAACCTTATTTTAATAGTTCCCTATTTGAATGCCTTGTCTTTTGATGAGCCAGTAAAAATAATAACATGTGGTAAAACATGTCCTAGTTTCATAATTGTCCTTTGGGCTGGATTAAGGACATGTCTGTGATAATTTCAAAACTGAATATTCTATTTATAATTAGGCACTTGGCCTGATATTTTGTATGTTTAAGATCAACAGCCTTTGGAAAAACTAACAAGACCAAGAGAAAATGATGAGAATCCTGATCCTAAATGCCGCCAGAAGAATTGTTCCAAGCAAAGTTCCAAATTCAGTCCTGCTTAAATAGGTCACAAGGTCATCTTTCACTGGCCAAATTAGGAAACACATCAAACTGATCAAAATGACTTCTAATTATTTATTATTGCTAATATCAGTAAATGATTTATTTCTGCCTAAAATTAAAGCAAAGAGTAAATTCAGCCAGAGGCCAGTGTTGCTACATTTTTACACAATTCAATTGTTGAGTTATCTTTTATCAGTTCAAGTGTTACCCTCATGCAAACAAGCTTTCTAAGGGAGAGGCTGTTCGTGTTTTTCTTATGTTTTTTTAGCCAATTTTTAGGTTTCAGAGAAACTCTTATCATTTTTTTGTGATTTACAAGAAGTATTTAAACACTACTGTATAAAGAAAATGTTGCTTTCAAAGATCACCTCAAGCTTTTAATGTGTTTGCATAACTAAATGTTGCTTTAGTTTCATACTTTATTGCAGTGGAGGAAACAGCCTTTGCATAACTATATTATTAATGGCAGAAGAAAAAATTACATTTTTAGCAACATTTTTGCCAAAATAAGTAAAAGGAAATTATTTAAATTAACAATTTAAATACAGTCCAGTAATTACCCAATCAGCTAATTATAAAGTAATGGACACTCCTACTTCAGGCGCAAATAACAAACAAATAATTTAAGGTATAAAAATGTTCATGAAAAAACTATGACAAGAAAGCAATTAAGGAAAGTTGATGTGAATTTTATTTCAACACAGCCATGTCACTGAGATCAGCAAAAAGGTATATTTTTTAAAGGTTTGAGTTGATTAGGAGCCAGGCCAGACCCGTCTCTCCATCTTCAGGCGTCTTTTTACCCACAGACGACTTTTTACCCACAGGACCGTGCGTTACATTTGCTGTGAATGTAAATGGAAGCAAAGTTCTTTCATATTTAACCCTGTGTTATGAGCAGCAGTACATGTAGGCCTCCACACTTACTTTTTTGTAATAAAATCTGGAACCCAGCGATTCTCTGCAGCTGTAATCACAAAAGTTGAAGTAGTTTAGAGACAAATCCTTAATTATGTCATAGTCTCAGCTGAGTGGCAAACATATAATAGGACTCACCTGGAATGAGCAGGAGAAGCAAGAGTGCCACAAGAACCACACGGTAAAGAACCATTCTTCTTCTGAAACCAGTTCCAAATGAACAACAAGACACCTGAGAGTTTGCCTCTATTTAAGTCACCACAAACAATGGGAGGGTTTTTTTTTTTTAAACTATTTTTTTAAACAATTCCGTTTCCAGTTTTTGCTTTTGAAGCTCGTAGGATCAATGTTCCCATGGTATCACAATGCCACAGGCTATTGTGTTGTAAAATTTAAAACAATATGTCCTGCCAATATTTTGTACTTCATTTGGCGAGTACACTTTGATCGTTAATCATCCCCTCTACACCAGTCATCTCCTAGTCTGGTGCTGTTGACACTGTTCAGGTCAGTGGTGGCTTAGTGGTTAAGGACTTAGCTCTGGTAGATTTCGGTTCTAGTCCAGACCAGCTGCCAAGTTACTGCTGAGGTGCACTGAGTCTGGCTCCGTCCCCACACACTGCTCCCTGGGCACTTCAGGACAGTACATTAAGTTTAAAATCAATATTTGTTCACTCATTAGCCAGTGGATTTGTTTTGTTGAAGATGTGCGTTACAATGATCCTGGAAGTGGACCAAGAAGGTCCTCTGGTTGTAAAAAGAACACCAGATGATGAAGGTGTCATCTTCTGCCCCCAGATGCTCCAGTGGATTTGACCGTCACCGTCAGGACTGGGTGGACAACAACTGCCCAGATGAGGTGAGTGAAGAAGAGTTAAAAAAAACACATAATGATCACAATAATTATCAGCAGTTTTGCTGGAGATGGCCCACATGACCCCAACTGTAATTGTTGTCCTCCAGACCAAGTACAAACTGTGTGACATCAGCAACACCACGTACGTCTACCCCATCACCACCACTGCTGTTGCCAAAACATCATTCAGGAGCAGAGGCTTACCAGGGGAGGAGGAGGGACCTGCCACTGCAGACCCCCCCACCAGTGCCCCCACTGAAGGTAGAGGATGAAGCCCTTTGTCAAGGTCACGGTTCAGAGTTTTCTGCAACATGTTAAATGAAGGGCATTTTCTTGAGTTGCTCTGCATTGGTGTAGATGTGGTGAAACAGAAAGGAAATGTCTCCATGTCAGGTTAGATGGGTGTGGGGTGGAGGGTGGGGTGGGGGTTGAGCAGGGGGGCAAACTGTTCCATAAAGGACCACTGTAGCTGCAGGTTTTCCCTAGAGATTACAACTAATCTAGAGACACAGTGACTGACCAATCAGCTGTTTGGAGATTCAGATCAGTTGATTAAAAGATCTAAGTCAGGTGTGCTGCTGCAGCTGCTGATGATTGGTCGATGATTGATGATTGGTTGGAATAAAAACCTGCAGCTCCCTGGGTTAGGGACAAGCTACAAGCAGCTTCTTGTTTAGATAAGATCATAGCCATCATAACCATTTAGTTTAGTTATTCAGTTATGTTCTTCAGTTATAACAAAAAGTAAGATGTAAGAAGGTCAACATGGAAAAATAAAAGGTTGAGGGAAAAAAGCCAAATATGCCATATGAATGTAAATAATGTAAATAAATGTTAGATGAAAATAAGTCCAAATGTTTGCCATAACCCAAACATAGCACAGATTAAGCTAACACGTAATCAGGATGATATCTAAGAGTAAAAAAAACATAAAAAAATGTTCTGGATATAAATTAAGAGCTAGAGGAAGCTCAGACAAAACAGCTAAATTTAAGCATAGCTAGCTAATTTATGGTCAACATGGCTAATTTAGGCTAACTACAATATTCCACAAATAAATGTTAGCCACAAAATAAATAAGAAAGAGATGAAATAAAGAGCAGAAATTTGTTGTATGTTGCATCTGATCTTATATATACAAGAATCTATGGCAGCTTCCAGGCTGCAGAGAACATAGTCATGGAAGAAAGTATTAGCTCCCGTGGACCTTTTTAGAAAGAACACCATTTCTCCCAGAAAAGTGTTGCAATTAATGTTTCGGTTTACACATGTTACACATTTCCTTTATGTGGATTGGAATAACATAAAAAAGTAGACAATAACTTATAATAGACATAATTGTACACAAAACACTTAAACACTGGGTTAGACAAAATGATTGGAATATTTGATTTCACAACCTTTGAAGGAAATAAGTGAAAACAACTGCTTTTCCTTTCCCTCGTCTCAACTGGAATGTTTCACCACTCTTTTTCTGCTCCAGGTCTTTCACATTCTCCCAAAAGCCATTTTGAGATCTTTTTATTGGAATCAGACTCTTTAGCTGTGAGTCCAGCGTTTTGTTTTCTGATCATTGCTGGGTGTTTTGTGAGTTATCCATCATGTGAGTTATGACCATGTGAACCTTCCTGTGGGTGGTGAGTCCGCTGGAGGGCGCCAACCACCCAAACTGGGCCAAATTCACAAAAGCTTTTTTATATCAACTCAGAATTATGATTCTCCTTAACCTGGAAGAAATAAAGGAACATTTAAACAGTCAATATTATAAATATTTTACAATAGTAAGTAGAGCAGAAATATAGAAAAACATGTTAGATCAGAAAGAGAGAAAGAAGAAACAGAGTTATGTTTGTTTACATGGAGATAATCCATCTTAGAATTGAACTATTCATTGTTTGCTCTTATATTTGAATGAACTTCATGTTCAGACCTTGAGGTGTATTTGAATATATTTTACTTCATGAATATTCAGTTTATTTTTTAAACAATTTGAAAGGTTTTGGTTCAGTGTGTGGTTTATTACCTTTCTGACTTCTGAGATAATTTCAGCTGTTCATTTGTTTTAGTTTTATATATTTGTTTTTATACACTAAAAAGGAACTTGGTTACTATCCATAATGTCAATCATATCCATAGAAGAAATCTACATTAGATTGATTAGTAGTCAGCTGCTGCCTCACCTCTTAGCTGTGTCAATCAAATAAAATCAAAATAATAATTTTAAAGACAGAATTGTATTCAATTCATGACTAAATGATAGGAGATGCTGCCCCAGTGAGTCAGTCAATCAATAGCTATCAATTGGCTAATGTAAGCAATGTTTTTTTCAAAATGTTTTTATGAACACCGTCATATATGTACAGTACATGTATATATATTATACATGTACTTTACATACTAAATAAACTACACATATAGAAGTCTATAGTTAACTTATAGCTAACGTCTTCTATACTGTCTGTATACTAGTCTTCTATGTGCTGATTTATGCATGTATAATATGTAGAAATGACATTGGAGGAAGATTTCTGACTAAACTAAACTAAACTAACTAAACTAAAACCCATAGCTTTGAATCTTTAAGGTGTGGGTTTGAGAGGAATAATTATTTTATGTCTTTCTCTTTTTGTTTCCTCCTCACAGATGACACAAAGATCGCGCTGCATCTCAGGGAAAACCAGGGTAGGTCCTTGTTTGTGTGTGTGCATGTGCTTGTGCATGTGTGTGTATGTAAACCAAAAAGAGAATTTAAAAATCTGTCCAATAAGTAATCAAAATCAACAAAACAATACAGAAAGTTGTTATCATCATCATCATCATCATCATCATCATCATCATCATCATCATCATCATCATCATCATCATCATCATCATCATCATCATCATCATCATCATCATCATCATCATCATCATCATCATCATCATCATCATCATCATCATCATCATCATCATCATCATCATCATCATCATCATCATCATCATCATCATCATCATCATCATCATCATCATCATCATCATCATCATCATCATCATCATTATTATTATCAAGAATAAAGCAAAAATACTTTAAAACTATGCATAAGATAGCTGACAGGGAGATTTTGAGGTTTCAGAGAAATATATTAATAATTCCCAGTTAAATTTAGCCTCAAAATAAGCCTAATAGATAGCCTTTATTTAAAGAAACATCACAAGCACATTTCAGTTAAATTTGTATTATTTGAAACACGCAAGGGGGTAGTAATGTTAGTCACATTTCTGCTACTATATACTAAATGACCCAGAAAAATTAACTAAATATGATGTTTTAAAGATTAAGATGAAAAAAAAAAAAGCTTTGAAACAACAACAAATATTTCCTGGGTATTAATACTTACTAACATATATTTTTATATTTAAGACCAAAACACCAAATTGGTTTCCACATACTGTATTTTTGCAGCATCATAAAGATGGTATTATTGTGTTTTGGGGGTTCAGTAACTGGACTGTGGTGGATCCTTTGACTGCACTCTCCAACTCACTGTGTTTGTTGTTAATTTAATTCTCAGTGTTACTTTTACTGAGAGTTGGCAGAAAGACTTGAGGACAAATGAGCCCAATGACATTTGCCTTAACACACAACAAAGCTTCTGGACACTTTGTGTGAAACAGTTTAGCCTTGAGTGAATTTTGTATTGTGGTCTTTTAGGGTACTGGCTGGAGAAGTGTGGTGCAGTGTTAAGTAGTCAACATTGTAAAACATGAATGTGTAGTAACTCATCAGTCTTGCCTGACCTATTGTGGACTGGTTTTTAGAATCAACTTGTACCTATTTATAAGATCATTGTATGTGAAAAGTAATTATGAAGATGGACTATTGACAAAGATTGTACTAGGAGATATAGAAAATAAAATCTTTTCTATCTCTTGCCTTCTGCCATACAGATAAAAAGTTGCACTTATTAAACTAGAAAATATTAAAAACAAACAAACAAAAAAGGCTAGTGACTGTGTTCTGTAGCCCTGTGAATGCATTAGTGCTCATCCTGCTGTAAATCTGTGAGTTCAGACCAAACCCAGGCTGTGTTTCATGATGACTTCATTACAGCCTCTGTGCTGTGACTGGTTCTGTGCTGTGACTGGTTCTGTGTCACAGAGGGAAGTTTCTGTGTGCCTTTGGAGCTGCATGGCTGTTTTCCATCAGTTGACACATTTGCAAATTATAATTTTCCCACAGATCAAAATAAGAACTCACTCACTTCATTTTGTCCAACACAACGGCCTCATGCACAAAGACTTGCGTTGACTTTGTACTGAAACATGGTGTACAGAAAAACCCAGAAACTGGTGAACGCACAGAAACATCTGTACACTGTCAATGTTGAGACCATTGTCTTCAGCACTCTGCACAACCATGTCATTACAAACACATGGTTGTGTTAATTTATTCATAAGTGTATCTCTGTTGTGCATGTCTCTAAAGACTACTTGTTTTCACATTATTAGCAGTTTCCCAGAATCACCTCTAGGTGTCGTCAAAGACACACAGCTGTAGAAAAGAGTGTAAGTCAGCCTACACATTTCTATGATCATATCATTTTGATACATTTGAATATGAGCGTAGAAAGTAATGTTTGCCACGTTTTTGTGCATATCCAATGTTCGTACATGAGGCTCCTGGACCTGCACATTATCTGTCAAAGAAAAATCGCTCTTATTCGCTCTGATTATCAGTCACATCCTCTAAACAACGTCACAGTGGTGGTTTAGCAAAACTCAGGCCACTATGTTCCTACTTTAAGGACAATCGGTGTGAGACAGGAGGGTAATGATGGCATTGATAAATGAGTGCCCTCTACTGTTTAACTGTCAGAGCTACAGTGAGACCACACATGAACCCACTGCCATCCTCTCCACCTTTTATACAGGAACCATAAAGAGCATTCTGACCAATCACATTCCTACAGAGGGTCATGGGACCTCTCCTCCTCCTCCTCCCCTTCAGGACTTCAGGAGCAAAAAAGTGCTCTATGACCAGGGCTCAAAACATAATCAGTGACGCCCCCTTCCCCCCCATCTCTTTTAGATGTCTGTATCTTTACACATTCATTGCTAATGGTTAGATTTGTGTGTTTCTTTTCAGTGATGCCAGCTAACAGTGCAGTGGGCAGGATACCTGGTTCTCACCCCCTCCACACTGGTCTGATCCTGGGGATCCTGTTGGTGGCGCTGGTCACAGTGGCTGGTGTTCTGGTCACCGTGTACATCTACCATCACCCCACTTCTGCTGCCAGCCTCTTCCTCATCGAGGTGTTTACTGTCAATAAGAGTTTGTGTTCCAGATGTTCTTTTTCTTTTTAGGTTGATATGCGGCTTAGTGTTTGGGATTGGTTTAGAATTAGGGTTATGGTCTGTTCTAGTTTGGCTTTTATGGTTTGCATTTTTATCTACGCTTGCTTTTAAAGATTTACCTACGTCACAATCAGAAAACAATTCCCATAAATCAAATTAAGAATAAGCGATTTAGAAGCAAATGAACAAATCTAGTAAAATATATATTTGAAAAAACTGCAGCTATGTTTAGCTGCTTTTGATATTTTTTATAGATTTAAACGTACACATACTTTAAGCTTTTAACACAAGGAAGAAAGAAGTCACGTGTCCTACACCATACAATTGATGGGACAGTTCAAGGGTCATGCTGAATGTCATGCTTAATCACAATATTTGTTAGGCATAGGTCAATCTTTAAACACATCTAATTTTTATTCTTTTTTATCTATTATTTATTCTTTAAGACTTGATAAACCACAGCTGTGACAGGATCTCTAGGAAAACACTCCTTTTCTGTTGATCAGGCCTCCGTCACCGTTCTGTATGTAGCTAGTCCTACTAAGAGTGCTGGGATCATAACAAGAAACAGCCAAACAGAGAGATCAACTAATGGGTTTTCTGGATAAAAACAAATTGTCCACAGAAATGGATTTTCTTAAAAATCCAGATGGTCCTTATTTGCCAGAATTTGGATATAGGTTTGTAAAAACATTTAAAGACATTTCTGTGAAAAGATTGCTCTGAACATGGCACCGTCCCACAATGCTGCCCCCTGTTGACTATGGTGATGGGTTAAAAGCAGAAGTCACATTTGGTTGTGTGCAGTGGTGTGCTGTGTCACAATGACAAGTAGTTCACTTTCCTTCATAAACACTGTGAATACACAGAACAAAAAGTTAGCCAAAATGTTTTCAAATTAGCTGGAATAGAACCTCAGGTCCACTTAGAAGAACATTAGCTTACATTACAAAATTACAAATTCTTTAAGTGCTAAAAATCGCTCAAAATCAACAAATATATATCCTAATGTTAGCCAATAAAGAACTACAAAAACCACACTTTTTTTTAAATAAGTATATAGCAATAATTGCTAACCATCAGTGAGAACAAAGTTAAAGATTAGCCCATCATCAAGTGAAGTCTGCTAAAAGTTAGACAAATATTCTAAAGGTTGAAGGTGTAACTTTCTAACCATCCATGAGATAGATCGTCGTGTACGAGTGGTTGTCTGGTAACTTAATTCTTTATCAGAGTACTGAAGTAGATTGGAGCAGACACATTAAGTACTTTGGGGGCTAACACTTAGTCAGTGTAGCTCAGTCAACAGAGATGTGATTTTTTGACTGAAGACCAGACACGTCGCTGGACAAGTTGTGGACCGTCGTACTGGTCAGCTGAGGCAAGAGCTGACCATGGGCTGGACCAGGAGCTGAGTAGACTGTTAGGTTAGGGTTAGACTGATCATTCTAATAGTTAACAGTGTAAAAAGACTAGTAAGAGGCAACATGGCTGGTCTTTTTCCAGATAAATACAGAGAAATAAGACAAAATGTTATGTTAAAGGTTAAAGTAAAATCAGTGTTTTTTTTAGTAATTTAAGGATTTAAATAAATTAGTAAATTTTTGTGGTAAACTTTTTTGGTAGAAAAAAAGGTAAAAGTTAGGCAGGAATTAACTTAAAATTTGGTCAAATCCAGAAGCTAATGATTAAAAAAAAATGCTGCAGTATTAGTAGCATAGATGGTCCAAAAATATAAACTTTCCCTCAAAAAGAGTTATTAGGCTAGAAAAATATAATCCATTAAGAACTAACCCAATAAAGAGTCTAAGTGTTTAAGTCATTAAAGTGTTTTTTCTTCACAGAGACGTCCGAGCAAGTGGCCAGCAATGAAGTTCCATCGGAGTTCAGGTCACCCGGCCTATGCTGAAGTGGAGCCCGTGGGCCAGGAGAAGGACGGCTTCATGGAATCAGAGCAGTGCTGAGGGAGGGGGGAAATGGTTTTACATCCTTGCTGCCCCTCCATTTCTACTCTTCCAGTGCCAAACCTCCTTCATCCTGATTCTCCAGCAGAATCTGGAGCCGGGCTGTAAACAGTGAATGTTCTGGAAAAATTAGTGGAAAAGAGAGGAAACAGAAACCCTGGAAACTGATCCCAGACAGACTGATCAGATCCATCTAGGAAGAAGGTGATATGGGATTATGGTGATGGTACAGCGTGACTCTGTGCACTGATACTGGTGTGTGTGTGTCTGTGGAGGGGACGGGGAGCAGAGTGAATTATACAATTTATATTTTCAAAAATACAGCGTGTGTGAACAGAGAGTTTCCACTTTATTGTCGGTGGTTGTTTATTCATCAGGTTTTGTGACTTCTGTCCTTTTTTTTTACTGTTTTTTATTCCACACGGTTTACGATGTGTCTCTGTGTAGCTTGTCCTTATTGATTTTCATACAGATGCAGGACTTTACCACAGAATCTCTTCTGTGGTAAAGTCCAGCAGCTGTGTCATGTGACTCAAGCTTGACTCCTGTTAACCTGATTGATCACTCAGTGCAGTAAGGCTTAGAAAATACTGCTTTGTTTTCAGTTTGTGATGATGGGCTGGGGGGCTGTTTAGACATGTAGCTGCTCTAGTTAACGTCTCACGTCACCAGCTGTGTTTTCACTGTTATTTGTATCAGGAACCATTTTTGTATGAAAACATTCTTTGTCACTTCGGCAGAACCTTCAATGCTGTTTCTAGACCAACTACCAAAATGGTAGGGTTAGGGTTTTTACTCTATACATATATTGAACTTTTTATATGAATCTTGTTGTGATGCCATGTAGAAACACACCCACTGTAAAATACCAACCTTCAAATAATGCACAGGTTTCAATATGAAAAAAATGTCTAATCTTCCAACAAGATCTGCCTGTGGTATTTCATTTCTTTCTAAATTTCTAACATGGGCAAAAGTAAACCTTGTGGGGGGTGGGGGTTAGGGTTAGGGTTAAAAAAATTACATTATTCAGTCATCACTGTTGTCATCTAACTGCCGCAGATAGAATGACCTGAAAAGAACCACACCTGACAACGTTGTACTTTTTACTCGCTGCGAGGGGGAGCAGAGAGACCAACAGCTTCACAGAGCTGGCACACCTAAGGCCCAAAGTGTATGAGGACTGCAGCTCCTTTTATTGAGAAAGTTTCACAAGTACTGGGCAGTTGTTTTTTTTCTTTGAGTTTTACTCCCAGGGCAAAGTTCATCCGATTCCCATACTTGATGAGAAACAGACCTCATCCTTTATGAACCTACATTGTAAAAAACCTTTTAGGTCTAACCCTACTCCTGTCAAGCAGACCATTATTTAACACAGTTAGATAACAGTTTATGGTTCACCACACTTTGGTAACTAACTATGAATTCTATTTACACATCCAGACGTCCCTCCACACCTCATCTGTTTGGTTAAGTGCAGTGGTGAAAACTGGTACTGAAAAAACAAAACAAAAAAACAACACAGCTTCTGACACCAAAAAATGTTTTTTTTTTTGTTTGTTTTTAATCCTCCTATGTTTCCTTTTATCTGCACATTTATTGCACATTTATTTCCCATGGATACCTTTCTGTGTCGATTTTCACATGTGGTACTAATGCAAAAATGCAAGACAGGTGCTTGTGAGTGTGATTATATTTTTAGGTGTAAACCCTTTCTCTTGTGTCAGTATGGTGTACAGTAGAAACTGGACATACACGCACCTTTGTTTGAGCTGGCTCTAGTTGACCCTTGAAGAGTTCTGTGCGACGTTTGTGTGAGCCAGAAAACACACTGGGGATGAGATTTGTTTGTCTGTTTTTTCTTCATGTTGCATTTTCATTTTACCAGCATAATTAGTTTTGTGTCTATGGTTGATAATAGTGACTTGTATTCATCAGATTTTCAAGTGATCAAATGTTGGGACAAATCTCTCCATGACTCTCAAAATGAATAATTTTTGAATAAAGAATTTTCTGAAAAGAAAATACTGCACTCTCACAGAGACTACATGCTAGGCCTAAAATTTATAAAATGTGTGTCTACTTTATAGGCTAAGTGATACTTACAGTATATATATCCAGACATACCAAGTCTTCAGAAGGTTCTGGAGGCAGAGAGAGTGTGCATCTAGAGCAGTTGGGTCACCAACGTGGCCCAGGGGCACCTGGTAGCCCCCCTGGACTACTTAAGGTACCCACGGGGTATGTTCTAAAATTAAAACTAGTCAACAAGAGGGTCAAAATTTGTACTGTTACGTTGCTTTTTGAATCAGTTACACTTTTGATGATATTCAAATGGGTTCAATGAAGATGGTAAGAAGAGTGTCCCAGAACTGATTATTATTACATTGTTCGGGTAGTCTATATCAAACAAGTAGCTATTCGAATTATTAAGTGACCTTGAAGTAGCTCTCAGTTTCAGAAAGGTCGGTGACCCCTGGTCTAGAGATAGCCAGCTGTTCAGCTTGTATTGCTACATAAACCAACCAGTTTTTAAGGATAGTTGGGGCTTTTTCCCTTGGTTTAGCAGAGCACAGAGCACTTCCTGGAAGTGCCTTTTTACATGATGGAATAATTATGTATTTGTTCTAGATGAGAAATGTGTTAAACATTCAACAGCTGAGTCTCTGGGGTGTAGTTTTTTGTACTTTTTTGTTTTTCTGCCTGTCACTTTCATACTGTGGACAAACAAAGAAAATTGATTTGAAATAAATAATAGTTTAATATAACTTGAAATTTATCACAATTTCACGGTACACCTGATGATCTCTTGCAGTTCGTTAATGTGCCATGGCGTAGTGGTTGGGAATCACTACACACGTACGGGCCACAAGCATTATAGCCACAGAGTCAGGTAATCAATGGCCAGCATTTGTAATAAAGCACTAATAGACCTAAAACAATAAAACATTTTCTTTATGAGTAGCTGTTTTCTGTACGTTTTTAAACTAAATGTGAATATTTTTCTGCTCCTGGGGTCCGTTTCTTGAAGTTCAGTTAAGTCTGAGTTTAGTTAAAACAGAGTTTAGTTAAGTCTGAGTGGATCTCATGCCAGACTAGATATAAAGGCTCCTCAATTGAGCTCAGATAACAGGAACCATGCGATGTGAAAACGCATCCTGGTGGTTCTGCTTCACTCCTCTTAATCAACAAATCCTCTGGATCAACAAATCCTGTTGAATGACTGTAAGGATTTGTCTTCAGTGGAAAATAAAAAGGACAACAGAGTTACAGCTGTCAGAGACAGAGAAAAGAAATACTGTAGATGAGAGAGTGAAGGAGTGAGTGTTGATGAGAAAGTTCTTGATCCTGGTTAAAGACAACTGTTCAGCCTCAGTCACATGATTCATATATATCAGTGTCCACAGCTGACCTCTGAGTGTCCACACATGACCATCTGAAATGTTGATTTGTTGAGTGGTGGCCGCATGGATAAGGAAGCAGACTTGGGTCTGGAAGGTTTCAGGTTCGAGTCCACCAGCTGCCAAATTACCACTGAGGTGCTCTGAGCATGACACTGCTCCCCGGGCACTTAAAGCTGCCCACTGTTCACTTTGGTGATGCATTAAATGCAGAGGTTACATTTCGTTTCAATGACAAGGAGTTCACTTTCCTTCCACTGTCCTTTCTTCATTTGTCCAATGTTGATTCAGTGACAGCTGCTCATGCTATTACCATCACGATCTATTGGAGATAATAGATCAGTCTGATCTTGTCTCTTCATATGTGAATAAAGGTTGCTTTTGAATCTTTAAATCTTGAATTTATTAATATATAAATGTATCTTAATATTTAAATAATAATAATTAATAATTAACTAACCACCACATTTTTCTGATATTATGTTTAGTAAAATGTATTTAACAATTCATTAGATTTAATACATGGAATTCAGTAGGTTTTATGTACAACAAATAGAAATAACAATACTCTATTTTTGTATTGCTTTGGGTCTTCACATACCGGTACTTAAGTTTCAAATGTATTTTTGGAAGTATTATATATTTGCTCCCATAAAGTGTTTTGTAAAATATTACAAATGCCAACACGTGTGCGGTGACGTCTTACTTATCACCATTTTCGTTAATAAAACAATATATATTTATATATATATTTTAATTACGGTTTATTGAAAGAAAGTGTGTGGTTAAACTTTATTTTCAGTCAAAATACGTTGAAATGCAGCCTTGGTTTTTAAATGTGTTTGAGCAGTGAAAACTTTAATTCAGCATCACATTGTAATTTCTACTGTCGTCTGGTTTTTAGTTTACAATTTTAAATCAATCAAGTTCACTTCTTAATTTGTTGTCATTGTTGTGTCCATTTTGCCTAAAAAATAGCAAAACACAATGTTGCTGTTGAACATTTGTAATACGTAGAGGTGTGGACTCCAATCACATGAGTTCCACACAGACTCGATTCACATGACTTTCACACACTTGTGACCTGACCCTAACCCTAACCCTGAGTCATAAATTTGATAACCTTGGACCTTGGTTCATTCGTGTACTACTTGACTCTTTATAAAAGTCAATTATCAATAGCATTTCAAATGTCAAATCCCTAAAGTCTCATTGTTCCACTGTAATATTGTCTTGTCCTGTTGTTATTAACAGAGGTGTTAAAACTTCTGACTATTTCTGTTTCCACTGTAAACACAACTGTGCTAATGTTGACAGTGTCGGTTCACAGACACCGAGCTGAACTACCGCCACAACAAGAGGCTAAAATACACAAGAAGAAGAAGAAGAACAAAAAGAAAAAGGCATTCAAATAATTGTTAAACCTGCTGAAGTAGAAGTAGAAGTAGAAGCATATTTTCCAACACTGAGGTAGCATGTGAGGAGTCGGACCTAGAGAGAGCTTTGAGGCCACCCTGGGTTGGGGTCTGTGCTCATTGGCAGACTGACACCAAGGTACATGGTCTGGTTGGTGTATGGGAGGTAGTGGGAGGGGTAGTGGTGGGGTGGTCTGTTATTAGTTATTCTGTTTCACATGCGGCCATGGAATAAATAGATGTTCAATTACATTTTCTTAAACATTTTTACTTCCTGTCATTTCAACAGTCTGAAGTGGACCCTGTAGTTTTGTTTTGGTCAAATGCTACCATCCAGTGGACACATTTTTAATGCGTCTGTAAGCAGCCATACTTATATAAATATGTGTATATCTTTTCCTAATTTGTCTTTCCTTGTCTTTATTTGATTATTTTAACATTGTTTTTGTTTTGTTTTTTAAGAAAGGCTTTGTTTGAACTAAACCAAAGTGTCAAAGGTCAGTATATACAGTATATATATATATAAATAGTTGGTACACCTGAACCTGAACAGATGATTTAAATGTAATCACATGTTTTACTTTTGGCTACTTTTATATTTTGATTCTTTTTCATGGAAGTCACAGTAAAGTAAGTCCTGTCATTTTAGTTGTACACAGATCTCAGTTAGCCTGTGTAGGTTCTCAGTCATCCAGTTCATTTAATAAAAAAAAAATAGTTACATCGAAAGCAACTGGACAAAGTAGATTTTTTTTGGGAGATGTTTTACTCATCCAAGAGGCTTCTTCAGTTCTGACTGACCACTGGGAAATTCTGGTGTTTAGCCTTCAGGCTGCTATATACCTGTAATGCGGGTTGTTGCAGAAAGAGGGGGATGGAGGTGTCAGATCTCAGTTAGCCTCCCCTCGCTCATCCCTTAGCCCCTCCCCAAGCCTCTCCCCTAGCCCCTCCCCTAGCCCCTCACTTAGCCCCCCCAGCTCATCGCTTAGCCACTCCCCCAACTCATCACTTACCCCCGCCCCATTACTCAGGTGTAGTATATAAGGCCTCCAAATGGCTCAGTTCTCTCTCTGACTGCTCCCTGGTGAGGTTCTCTGTGCTGGTTCAGGTAGGCCATGTGCTGGTTTCTCTGATCTGTCCTGTTCTTTTCTTTCTTAGTTTTGCCCTTTACCTCCATTTTCTGTCTGTTTTGATCAACTTCCTCAATTGTTTGGCCTGATTAGCTTCCTTGGTTAGGGTTAAGTTAATGCTAACCCTGTGTTTATTCCTTTCTTTGAATGTGTATGTTGTTTTGTGACATTGTGGATTAACCGTGTTGTTGGTTTTGTTAATTATGTGCTTTTTTTTGTGTTTTATTTTGTTTTTATTCTGGCCTGGGGGTTGTCAGGTGGCATGCTAGGCCCTGTGGTTGGGACCCCACTCCTGTTAGGTCCTGCCGCAGGCCTGAGCTGAAGCCTGTTAAGCTGCTTTGGTTTTGGTCAAATTCTTTCATCTAGTGAAGTAGGCCACTCAGCGCCTCATGTGGAAAAGCTGGCTCAGGTTCAGTTAGTTAGCGTTGTTCTGATGGCAGTGCTGCCCTGCAGGCCTGAGCTGAAGCCTGTTAGCTGTTAGCTGCTTTTGTTTAGTTTCAGACACAGAGCTAGAGTTACGGAAATGCCGTTAAAGATGTGTAAAATGTAAACCTAATGTTACTTAATGTAAACCACTGCATATTAATGTTTTTACATTGCTGTCATTTAAAAAAAAAATCCTTTTTTTTTTTTTACATTAGAGTGGATATTGTATTGATCTAATTTGTGGTTTGAATGTGTTTGCTGTTGTTGTTGTCAGTTTCTTTCTTTTAAAATGAGTGACTGTCTTTGGTTTATGGCTTTTACATTGGAAAAAATGCTGAGTATTTTCAGTTTATACTGTGGGGTTGTTATGATGAACAATTTGTGGTTTTTAACTTAATTTTTTAAAGTGTATTTTTTTGTAATGGTCTAACATGAAAATGAGTAGATAATGTGTTTGTCTTTGGCTCTTGTGTAGTTTTGTTGACTTTCTTTCTTTGTTTTTTAAACTGCTACTTTCATTTGTGCTTCTTTACAGGTTTTATTTCTAACAAACACATCAAAGTTATGTTTGTGGTGACTACTTTGGTGTTACATAATGGTATTGGTTATTGTTTTTCATGTTTGTTTTTGGACCTTTACAGAATCATTTGACTGAAATTATATTTTGCTTCTTTGATTGTGGTTAATTTTATTTGACTGGGTTTGTACAAGGTATTTTTGGGGTTTGTTTTTTTTTTTTTTTTTTTTTTTTTTAAGTTGTCAGGTTTTTTGTTTTATATATATATATATAAATCCTAGTGTGTATGTATGTTTGTCTCTTTACAAGGTCTTTGTGATTTCTTTGTTTGCTTTTTTTTTTTTTTTTAATCGTTTGGTCTTGTATAATTGTGTATTAAATAACAATGATTGTATTATTTGGTTTGTTGATGTGCTTATTTAAATATTTGATCTGATTTCTCTTTTTCCTATGGTTTTATTATATAAAAATGAGTGGATTTCATTGATTTGTAATGGACTATTGACACTTGTTGTGATTCCATACTGTTTGAGTGTTGACTCCATTTTGTGTTCAACCTTTATTTTCCATACTTGTCTGTTGGTGCAGTAATTGCTCTGTCCATTTGATGGAGGTTTTATTTATTTATTTTTGAAACGCCTATCCTGCCTGTGACCTCTGCCCTAGACCTTGTGACGTCTTCCTCCAGTTTCTTCATTTATGATTTGAGACAACTTGAAGAAGTGGATGAGTTGGCTTTACAACATGGGTGAGAGTATCTGAAGTAAATTATACTACAGACTTTATGTGAAGGGAACTTGTAGAATATTTGTATTTATGTGAGTCAGTTATGTCTTTCATGTATAACATAATATTTTTGGAGGGGTTTGTTCTTCTAAGGATCCATCTGCAGAAGTTTACCTGGTGATGATCAGTGTCTGGACCATCACCATCTTCCTATTGTCCTCTTTTGGCAGATGTTGACTGGGTGCTGCAGACAGAATCATTAAAAAGACAATTGTCTTTCAGTGGTATATTTTCATTCAGGATTCAATAGGTTAATTACCCCCTTTTCCTATTGATCCACTAGCCCTGAGACTGAACTTAGAGAAGCTACATCCTGGTCAGGACAGCAAATTTTCACTTTTTAAATGTAAAATATGTGCAAGGATTCAGGGAACCTGAATTTTCTTTCTCTGTCCCTCTTGTCCTCTGTTGCCAGAAGTTGACTGGACCTTGTCAGGGATGAGATGTACAGGAAGTGAAAAGCAGAAGCATCTTTCCTATGAAGAACACTGTTGAAGATAAGTTTGTCTTTTTTTGGTATATTTGGTTATATGTGTAAAACAATAATTCTGTCCTCTGCAAAATTAATAATTTGATTTGAAATATGCAGGGTCAAGATGTCAAATTTATCTATACACTTAAGTTATGTGGTAGACACACAAATTACATTGCGCGTTTAGGGTCTTCAGAAGAAAATGTGCTTGGCTAAGAGATAATCCAATACTTATTAAAGATTAAGATAATATTTACTACTACTTTAAAAATGTTAAGTAATTCTGTTAGCTGAATAGCAGAACATAAAGGAAATGATGTAGACTTCTGGTACTGATGGTAATGGCTGCTGAATTTACTCTTTGTTTTTCTTCCCCTTGTCCTCTGTTGGCAGATGTTGACTGGATGCTGCAGATGGTATCATTAAAGATAAGTTTGTCTCTTGGTGGTATATTTTTATTCAGGATTCATTAGGTTTATTAACTCCTTTTGATCCACAAAACCAGAAACTGAAATTTGGAGAAGCTACATCCTGGTCAGGACTGCAAAATTTCACTTTTTGCCATGTTGTATATGTTGAAGAATTCAGGGAACTTTATTTATGTATTTTTTTTTTTCTTTCTTTCTTTCTCTCCCATATTATCATTAATATATTTGTGAGCTGGATAGTTTGGAAGCTTAGTGATTAGCAGGCACCTCTGGTAACATTAGTCAATTATACTGCTATATTTTCTGCCTCATAGGTGTTGGTGCTGGATCTACAAAAGCTCTGGAAATCTGGGCTTCTGGACTGCAAGTTGTTCCAGGTGAAACAACTCCCTTGAAGAAAGCTGTTCTCAGCCACAAGATGTCTTCTGGTTTGTACTACACAATGACTTGTTAACCCTGTTGATTTTAATCTGTGTCTGACTGATCTGATCTGTATCTAGAATTCTATGGACCACACTTTATGAATTACGACATGACCAGGACAACTGACATGTGAAGCAGACTCCCTATGAAGATCACCATTAAAAGATAAGTCTTTCTTTATCTGCTTTATTATGATTGATTTTTCTCTTACAGTTGTAATGTGTATATGGACTCCCCCTTCCTAAGGTTAACCATTTAAAAATCCTCATTGCATTTCATGTATATTTGAAGATGTGTTCTCTGATGACTGAAACTATATTTGCTTGTCTTAGTTTATAATCACTCAGAATTGAATGAGCTGGATTTCCTAACCTTCTTGGTGTTAAAATAAATCCATCCATTCATTTGTACCATGGAGGCAATCTCCAAAATCAGACATGGATCCCTCTGATTTTGTGACTTGGCCCATCCATGGTACATTGTCCTTCAGAGTAGATTGAGGTTTTGATCAGTGACTTTGGGACTACATCAAGGACTATACATAAAAAGTGTTGGTGACTCAGGTCATGGTATATATGTATGTATTTTGGGGTGGAGGACCATATTGACTGACAATTTCAGTCAGTTAAACCCCAGTAATTCCTACCCCACAGGTGTTGTTGCTGGATCCAGACTCCCTATGAGGAGCACCATTATAATAAGTATTACCTTCTCTTCTGTATTTGCTTATGATTCGGTATGGTGATAACTTTTTTTATTTTATTTTAAATCCAATAGAGCTGATACAATGGAAGTGGAAGAACACCCATCCCAGTCAAGACTAGTCTAGACCATCCAAACCTTCCTACTGGCTGTCTGAGGTCTGTACTGAATTATAATGCCTGTTAATGTCAGTTTGTTATGTAGAACAATGACTGGACTTTTTCATGTTTAGGTTGTGGACCACCAGAACCTTCTTAGGGTAGAAGGAATCTCTGGGGCAATGGCCAACTGCTGGCTGCCCTGGAGACTTCCTTTCATTTGGTTTTGTTGGACCGGGACCTCCATTCCTTTGTAGTTGTACTGTAATTTAAAAATTCAAAATAAATTCCATTGAACTTAACATGGTTGTTCTGTCTTTCTCCTCCCTTAGAAAATGTACTTCATGTAAACCTGTTTTCTATGAAAATAAATGCTCAACAATAGCCTCTGGTGGTCATGTCAGTGGATGTCAAATTCATAGTGGGCCTAAATTAAGAATTGTGACAATGTTGAGGGCCAAACTGAATATTTATTGAAGAAT